TTATTTGTCCCGCTCATGGTACGCAAAACCAAATGTACAATAATTGCCACAAAACATGACTCTACCAAAACACCATTGAGCGAAAAGGAGCAGGGATAAGAATCTTATGTGACCTGCCCCTTTCTAAAAAAAAACAAAATAAATACAAATAGATCTTGCCCTTCATAATAATTTTAAAAAAAATGTTCACAGCCAAACATAACAGTATCTTAGGATACTAAGAGAAACACAAAACTTATTTCCCACGTGACGGTTAACGGAAAGAAACAAAACACCAAAACATCACATGTATAAGGAAAAGACAAGTGCAACACCCTCATCTGAGTCCTACTGGAGAAGAAGGTGGAAAGCGACGCATGATGATAATAATAACAATAACAATGGCAATGGGACCCGCAAATACAGAAGAGACATCACATCAAAGACATCAAAAACATGAAGGACCAGAGTACATAGACTTATTCACATTCTGCTTCATATAGTCCCATCTTTCTTAATTTATACAACTTCTTTAACTGAAAAATACAAATACAATTCTTTAGATCCTTTTGTTGAGAATTCCACAATTGTACACCAACCACCGAAATACACATTTGTTTAAGGAGTAGTCCTTGCATATGGATACTTAAAATGTAATTTCCTTCTGTGGTCTTCCTTGTCTGATCCAAAAACAAACAACTGTTGTAAATATACTGGTAACATTCTGCTTTTGCCCTGTGCATTACTGATAATGTCTGCAGCTCAGCTATGTCTTTGAGTTTCAAGAGTCCTGACTTAAAAAACTGTCTGTTGGTGTGTTCTCTTGTGTCAGCTTTATGAATTATTCGTACTGCCCTTTTCTATAATATTGACAATGGCTTTATGTTGCTCATATACGTGTTGCCCCACACTTCTATACAATAAATGAAAAATGGCAAAATAAGTGAACAGTACAACATCCTCAATGCCTTGTAATCTAGCAAATACTTTGCCTTGTTTAGAACAGAAATATTCCTAGACACTTTCGTTTTAACATGTGCTATGTGTGATTTCCATGTCAGGTTTTCATCCAGCGTCACACCTAAGAATCGAAATTCTGAAAACCTTTCAATAAAAACTCCATCAATGGACAGTGAAATGTTTTCATCTTTTTTTCTATTAGCAAAAACCATAAACTTCGTTTTATTCAAATTTAGGGTTAACTTATTTTCATCAAACCATCTTTTAAGTTTGACCATTTCATGTCCAATACACTTTGCTAAAATGTTTAAATCATCTCCTGAACAAAATAAATTTGTGTCGTCTGCAAACAACACAAATTGCAATAATGTTGACGTTTCACATATGTCATTGATGTACAAAATAAAAAGTTTAGGCCCTAAAACCGAGCCCTGCGGGACGCCACATTCTATGTTCATACACTCCGATGTACTACCAGAAAATTCTACGTATTGTTGTCTATTATCTAAATAACTTTTTAACCAATCTAGAACTACTCCTCTCACACCGTATCTATGTAATTTCGAAATTAATAGGTAATGGTCTATGGTGTCAAATGCCTTTTTTAAGTCAATAAATACACCTATTGTGTATTTCTTTCTATAGCTGTTGTAATTTCTTCTGTTATTTTCATTAAAGCTAAAGCTGTAGATCGATGTTTCCTAAATCCATACTGACTCTCACTCAACTCATTTTTTTCAATCAAATTATCAAATTTTTGGACAAACAATTTCTCAAGGACCTTTGAAAATTGTGAAATCAAGGACACTGGTCTGTAGTTGGTAAATTGGCTTTTGTCCCCTGTTTTAAAAAGTGGGATAACTTTAGCTATTTTCATGCTATCTGGAAAAATACCTGTCTGAAATGAAAGATTCAAGATGTAGCTTAGCGGTTTAATTATACAGTCAATACTAGTCATTTTCACTATTGTCATGTTGATCCCATCACTATCTGTCGAAGTCTTATTTTTGCATTTGTCTACAATGGATCTAATTTCAATTTCGTTTATACTTTTCTCTAATGGGTTAGCCAATTCTGCATCTGATATGCTTAATTCTGCATAATTGTGCAATATGCGTATAGCTGAATAAGCCTTCAAGACAAGCTCCGAATAGAGGACTAGGACATTTGGTTTTGTGACTTGGTTGTTAATTATACGAAGTTATAATGAAAAAATCTCAAGTCAAGTATCTGCAATAAAAACAAGTTAAGATCAAAAGCTCATGAAATTAGCCATTAAGATACAGTAATATGCAAACATGTCATCTCCACGTGTTGTTATGTTTTCTGCAATAAACATGTTTATGTTGTAATGCCACCACCTACCTTGACCGAGTGTAGCAAACAGTTGCCACTCTCTGTCTGCACCTTGCAGATATCACATTCCATGTTCTTCACTTGCACGTTGCCTTTTCCTTGAGTCGTAATGAAGAGATCTGACAACAAATGACAGACATTATTACACCAACTGCTAAAAACTTCTGCTGACATGTTTGCATTTTAATCAACAGGACAGGAGGCACTTACTACATTTAGTAGGTACAGTCATATCAATCGACACACTGCCCTTAACCTTTTGCCCTGAGATGAGCAGCTCTTTGCTCTGGTCATCATAGTGGACATGTAGGTCATCCAGGCAGACCTCCTGCTCCGTGTTTGTCCCGTGAACTGTGATGAAGACTCGGTTAGATTCGGGGAAGTCGTGCGGGTCCAGCGGGCGGATGGAGATGCTGCAGGCCAGCTGCGCCCGCACCGTGCTGAAGGGGTCCACCGTCAGAGACCACTGCTTCAGAGGCGGCTTTACCTCCTCGTATGTTGGAGACTTCACGGGGACAGAGATGGACAAGTACCGTGAAGTGTGCAGAGGACGGAGCGGGGTCGTGAGTGTCCTGGGACCGGCTGTGAGGGTCCAGCACCGGAGGAGTCCGACACATCCGCTCCGAGCTGCTGAGCTACAAAACATCTTTCAACTGCCGGTAAACTAGCACATGTACGCCTCACACTGCCGCTGTTGTTACAAATGACTTACTAAACATCTGAGGGAAAATAGCTGCCATTAAGTCAACACCATGGTCAACTTGAACTGATAAAACGCTGGCAAATTTGAGCTCTACTTTTAGCACAAGACTAGTACTTCCGGTACGATATTTCAGACTAAAAGTCTCATCCACCAAAACATTGTTTGCTTTTTACTTTGTATTATTGGTAAATGCTCTAATAAATAGAAATAAAAAAATTAAAATAAGTAAGTTAGGTAATGCACAATATATTAATAAAACGGACTCAAGGCTCAAGGCAGAAATGTTAAATTGCAGTAAATAATACAACCCAAAGTATAGTATAAAGCAGGATAATCCAAAACAGGATTGATTGTTATTGCAAGTAATATTTCAATTTCAATGTAAAAAATGTACACTAGACAGTAAAGTCCTCTGTTACTGTAAAAAATATCTACAATACATTGTGTAGGCTTAAATGTAAAAGTTCATTGAAACCTCTATGGCTTTTGAAGGCAATGTATTGTACTTCCGGTCTTAATCCTCCTCACTTAACTAATTTGACAATCCGGATGTACACTCTTGTGTAATGTTAGCAACGCCCCTTTGTAGGTTTTGTCCAATCAGTATGCCTCTGTTGCGGCTTTCACACCAGCGCTTTTCCCTTTCTAGCTCCTAGCTAGAGCTTTTCTGGTTCAGCTCCTGTTTCCCTTTTCTGCTCCCGCTCTGTTCACACCGCCCAGCACCCGACTGGTGCCTACGCGTCATGACATCACCGTTTACATCGCTGATTTGCTCCCCAACGGCATTACGGCGCTCACAACAACGGGGAACTGCGTCGGGTCGATGATCGTGTTGCTTTTAATCACACGAAGCCAGATTAAATTGAATAACGACTTCTCCAACCTTGTACTTTGCTCCAGAGTGCCGTGGTTCATTGTTTATTAATGTGTTTATGCAGCATTTACCGACCGCTGCAGTGTTGGCTGCTCTTCCACGGGAGTTTATTCTCCTCCGTTAGCTCCCGGTTAGCTCACACTGCAGCGGCCGCTCTAAAGTATACTGTCCGACTCACACAAGCAGCTGATACATATCCCCAGTTCGGCCTTAGCCTAAGTGAATGTGTGTCAGTCTGAATTGACGCTGTTTGGTATCACAACGCTGTTATGAAAGTTTCTCTGGTATAAAATGGGTGATGTTAGCATAGCAACCGAAGCTAAACTGACTACTTGCTATTGCTATCCTATTGTGGCATAAACCGTTTTCTACAGGCACATTTTACCGGCGTATTTTTATTATGATTCTACTTGTGATAGTCGGACACGACAACCTGTGCAGCCCATGTATTGATTCCATCCGATAGCTGCTATAATACAAAACAACACGTCTGCCTCTCTCCACAATGATCAATAACAGTGAACGGATGGTCAAAGTAAGTTACAAATAAACAGAATCACACGAAGCCTGGTTAGTGTTGCCTGACTTTATAAAGTGTGTTTATAAGCACTACTGCTTGTAGGCAGGCATGACAGTCGACCCATGTTCAGGGGAGGTGGGTTTAGTTTCCTGCACGCCTCGACGTAAGAGAGACGTAAGCGACGCCACCTCTTAGCTCCGAAGCTCTTGCCTCTAGACCGTTCTTATTATACATCCATGCTCTAGACCAGTGGTTCCCAACCTTTTTTGAGTACTGTACCCCCAAAGCATTTCAAGCCAACCTAAAGTACCCCCTACTACGCAATCAATCGTGGTGATCCCCAGGATATATTAATAGTCTATATATTGTGGCAGACCGGCTGTGTGTGTGTGTGTGTGTGTGTGTGTGTGTGTGTGTGTGGTGTGTGTGTGTGTGTGTGTGTGTGTGTGTGTGTGGTGTGTGTGTGTGTGTGTGTGTGTGTGTGTGTGTGTGTGTGTGTGTGTGTGTGTGTGTGTGTGTGTGTGTGTGTGTGTGTGGTGTGTGTGTGGTGTGTGTGTGTGTGTGTGTGTGTGTGTGTGTGTGTGCAGTGGCAGCACATATCAGCCCGTGGCCGGGGGGCGGGGCCTGGATACGGCCCTGTGTGTAGCTAAGGTGAAACCTGGGAGTGGAAGAAGGAGAGAAGTGACGAGGAGAGATAGAGAAGACGAGGATATTTTTGTCTGTGTGACCCAATGCGACAATTAATGTGACACTTAAATCATATTCAATCATAACTAATCATATACATTATAATAGCCATTGTTTAAAGACTTAAAACAAAAAGTAAGGTAACTCACCAATTAATGTGACACTTGAGCCTGTTTCTCCCTCATCAGTTTTGTGAGTCTGGGGGAGATTGTTGCAACAGCTGTGACCAGGTTATTCTCCAAGTTGAGTCTGTTCCTGTGTTTAGTCTTGATGTGGATCATGGCGGAGAATGTCACCTCACACAGGTATGTGGACCCAAAAGGCAACAGTTCATTCAGGGCATGTTTCCCCAATTCAGGATACTCCTTCTCCACACCACACCAGAACTGTGTCAGTGGTGTGCTTGAGTACCTCATCTTCAGGCTCCTATCTGAGGACACATCTATGAGGTCTTCTTGCAGTCTGGCGGGAATGCTGCTTTAATGCACGTCACAAATGGATTACGCACCCAGTCCAGTGTGGATGACTTGTTGTCAATATCAGGGAAGTAGGAGTTGAACTCATTCTTGAGCTTGGACAAATGTGTGTGTACTATTTTCACAATTGGAGCTCTGTCACATTCACCAGTAGCAATGTATGCGTTCAGCTGCAGGAAACAACTTGTATCAATTTTTTCACATTTGCTCTGCCAGAGCTTGATCTTCTCCATGAATCCACACACTTTGTCATACAAGCTAAGAACATGTGTGTCTTTACCTTGAAGAGAGAGATTCAGCTGGTTGAGTTTGCTGAAAATATCAGAGAGGTATCCCAGCCGAGCTACCCAGTCAGCGTCGTCGAACATAGCCACGTGGGTGTGTGTGCTCCGACAGAAATGCCCTCACTTCATTGCGTAGCTCGAACAGCCACTGTAACGTCTTCCCTCGGGATAACCATGCGGACGTCAGTGTGAAGCAGGAGCTGTTTATGTTCTGACCCACCGTCTTCACAAGGTGACTGAAACAGTCTATGATTCAAAGGCCTGGACTGTATGAAGTTGATCACTTTTACGGCATCATTCAAAACATCGTTTAACTCTGGACTCATTCTCTTGCTAGCTAATGCTTCTCGGTGAACCATGCAGTGCGTCCATGTAACGTCAGGATTTACCTTTTTTATGTGGGCCATTAATCCATTTACTCTGCCGGTCATCGCCGCAGCGCCGTCTGTGCACACATGAGAGCAGGATTTCCAATCCAGCTTGTGTTGAGAGAAAAAATTGTCAATAACGTTAAAAACGTCCTGTCCGGTAGTTCTCCCCGTGAGTTTCTTGCAAAACAGAATGTGCTCGTTTATCTCCAAAGTGTCTTTGTAACGCACAAACGCAATCAGTTGTGCTTCCCCACTGACATCCGTTGATTCGTCCAACTGCAAAGCGAACGTACCAGACGCTTTACATTTTTCCACCACTTGGTCAATGATGTCAATTCCCATGTCGTCGATCCGATGGCACACAGTATTATTTGACAACGACACTTTCTTCAGGACATCAGCTGCTTTCTTATCGAGCATAGTTTCTACGGGAAATATAGCAGCAGGCAAGATTAGCTCTTCGGCTATGGTAAATGGCTTTTTCGATTTAGCAACGAGTAGCGACACGGCATAAGATGCCTCCAAGGCCTTGGTTGAGACCGATGTCGCTTTCTTTAGTTTTTCTTGGCTTCCCTTAAATTCAGCCAGCTTTTGGTGGAAAAACTCTGCAGGCTTACCCACACAGGCGGGATGTCTAGTACTAAGGTGCCGATGTAAATGGAATGGTTTCATGCTATTATTAGAAAGCACGTCGCCACAGATGAAACACATTGGCTGCGGTGGCTCTGTAGTTGTGACCGTAAACCCGGAGAGCACATAATGTTCACCAAACTGACGATTCTTCACCTTCTCTGTTTTCATTTTCTTGAGAACCTAATTCAGCAGTATCACCTGTGCTGTTGTTTCTGGATGAACCAGCTCGACTCAGCCATTGATCCATAATGATTATGTTAACAGAAATTTTTCATCTCAATAAACACCAGCGCATTCACTTGATAGGATGTTGATATTTTGCTAGCTAGCAAGAAAACCAGCGCGCCACTACAATGATGATGATGATGTAACACCTGACAGTCCGGCGGGAAGCTGAACGCCGCGCCAATAATAATATATAGCCAGCAAATTATTACTTAATTTGAATGCTCCCAATTTTGGTTACATTATTACAGATTATGCATTATTCATTATTTGTGTACAGTTTTCCTGTAAAATGTTTAATAAAAAAAAATCTAAAATCAAATTTTTTTTTTTTTTTTTTTTACACTTTTCAAAAATATTTTCACGTACCCCCTGGGGACCACCCACGTAACACTAGGGGTACGCGTACCCCCGGTTGGGAAACACTGCTCTAGACCGACAATTTTTTGGAGCTGGAAGCGAACCGGATTCCGGAGCTAAGAGCCGGCGCCGCTGCGGTGTGAACAGGAAAACCCGGCACTTTTCAGGCTCCAGCTCCGAGCCGGAGCTGAAAAAGCGCTGGTGTGAAAGGGGCATGTGAGCATGTTGTTTAATCCGCAAAGGCTGTGGGGAATTTGAGTCTTGAAGCATTAGGCTTGTTTGAAACAAGCGAGACCTGCGCAGACCTGCGCAATTTCGATCAACGTCTTGCTAGTGCGTTGCATGATGGGTAGTCATTTTGTCCGACTTGCTCTGGAGGCCGGCCTACATGAGACGTTGAAATCTCGCGGGACAAAGACGCCCGCAGCCTTGAGAGCGAGGCGCGGCGAGGCGGCGCAGTTCCTCTCCACGGGCTGCGGAAGTGAAATGCTTGATGGGAAACGTCTCGCTGGTATCTCGAGCTGAGCGCTCATTGGTGGTTTTTTCCACGTGCTGTTGATGAAACTCTCCAATTGGCTCGGCAAAAGTTTGTTGTTGTTTTGTGTCCGTTTTACTTCGCCACTTCCATTCACATTTTTCATCATTGTTCCACAATATTTATCATCATTAAATTAATATCCATATATTTTATACTATACTTGCACTGCTTACCGTTTTCATACTTTATATATCTTAGCATATTCATACACACTGTTCATACTGCTCTCAGGCTGCTGTGTATATCTAGTGTATTCATACCCCTCACTGTTTATTCATCATTCAATTCATTCTAAATTTTATTCTGTAGATTGTGTACATTACTTTTCACTTTACTGCTTGTTGCACCTGGTTAGAAGCTAAACTGCATTTCGTTGTCTCAGTACCTGTAATATGTGCAATAACAATACAGTTGAATCTAATCTTGAGCAGGAACAAATGTATTTACTTAGTACATATCTGACATTAACGATTAAACACATGTGTGCATTCTTTATAAATGCAAACCGAGTCAAGCCGACTCCGGATGTGGCGGTATGCACCTTAAAGTTGTTTGCAATCTGCCAAAAAACCGAGAGAAGAAGAAGAAGAAGAGGACGAAGCCGACTCCAAGCTGTCCGACTTCAGGCGAGCTTTTTGAGACCTCCCCCGGCTGCGATCGGCTCGTCTACTTTCGAGGCGAGCCGCAACGCGTCTCAAACAAGCCTATTTCCTTATTTCTAAAGTTATTTGATTGAATAACTTCCATTAGATTTCATTTAGCTGACTCTTTATCCATATGTATTGCAGATATACCTTTACAAGAGATAATGGAGGGAAAAAAACACAATACTTTATTCAACAATTTATTTATCAAAGAAGAACAATCTCTATTAAAAAAAACAATCCATACAGCTTTTATTAACCATCAACTGGCTTTCCAGTACTACAATAATACAAAATATCGTTCTCTGTTTAAAAGAGAATGTTCTCTCTGATCGTCATTGAACAAATTCAGCGATATACAAAAATATTATTATTATAATTTATAAGTGTAACCGCGGCCGCGCAAAAAATGTAGGCTAATATGCAATCATGACTATAACCACAACTATGTACATCCTCACTTATTGTCATACTTTCCTGTAAACAAATTTGTTTTGCAGATTAAAAGACCACACAGCGGCAGCATTGTGTTAATAATCAGTGTGGAGGCTGTACTAGGTTTATTAAATTGTAAGGAGTATTGTTAGTTGGACCCTTCATTTTATTTTTAAAACATGCCCTGATAGAGAGTCCCAGCTAATGGCGCAAGGCCTCTTGGCCTGATCATCATCCTGACAGTTTTAAATGACTGTCTGTCATTAGTGGGGTAATACTCTGAAGATATGTTCTGCCAAGTGCCCCAGAAAATACCATCCCGGACTCCCTTGTACTTCCCAACATAGTACTTCCCGTTGAGGTTTGCAGCCATGCAGGCATCAAACCACCAGCCAGAGCTGTAGTAGGCCCCGCAGTTCCCGGATGGATAGCGGTCGTGGTCCCTGTCCGGCGTGGTGAACGCCCTGTTGTGGTGATCATAACTTTTGCTGAAGCGCAGAGCATCACCTGCAGTACCCGAGTAATCGCCGACCGTCAGTCTGTAGCGCCCCCGTTCACTTGCCACACTGAAGGACTCGTACTGTGCATACTCCCTCATACCGCCAAAGTCCTCCAGCTCCACCCTCAGCACCATATTCCTGGCCCGGGTCAGCATGTGGATCATATTGTTCCCCAGCCAAAACTCCCCATTGTCCAGCTCCCCAAAGCCCAATCTGTACTCTGCCCAGGTGCGGTTGAAGCTCACGCTGCCGTCCTGTCGGCGCTGCAGGACCGTCCACCCTCCTCCATCCAGCTGCATGTCACAGAAGACCGGGAAGCTTCTGCTGCGGAGGTCAGGGGTCACCAGGTACATCCCGCTTTTTGTTGCTCCTTTTGCCAAGTAGTCGGAGCAATCTCTCGTAACTGTGGATGGGGAACATGAAAACAAATCACAAAGAGTTATGTCACAACCATTTTTTAAATTACATTCGTATTTATTTCATTAATAGTTATCTAATCAAAGTCCTGCTTCTGCTCATATCTTGCAGAATAAATATCGTCCTGCAGCTGTGATATAGCCGTGAAATGTGTTGGTTGAGGTCATAAGGACAACAGGTCAGGTGGAAGCTACTTTTCCACTATTAAAGATTTAGGGTTTTTAAAGAATTTCAAGGTGGACCTCCTTAAACTTTACACATACCATTTTTAAAATAGTGGATTTGAGAGATAACAGTAAAAGCAGGTGTTAAAATATGTAACTATAAAATAACTATTATCTTATCCTTGTGATTGTTTTAATAAATGAAACACATGAGGTATGATATGGAAAAAATACCTTTACTTGCATTAAGAGTCTGTAGTTAATAGTTGAATAACTCATTGTTAGCTGTGCTCCATTGACGGATGTTTTAAAGCTGTTAGTGTCCACATAGTTGTGGTTTTGTCTCATATAATGACACCCACACACAGACATATTTTGCACACACGTGCAAATCCCTCTTTTAGTCTTGATGTATGGTACAGAGAAGATCTCAGACCACATTATACATATATTTATATAGGTCAAGCATTAGTGATGTGGTTCCTTAACTAAAAACATTTCAGCACAGGTCATAGCTTTGAGTGGCAATAATTAATAATCAAAAATGATTGCATAACAGTTTTCTCCCATTGAAATGTAATTTCAACACAATAGACTTTATGCAGATAGCTGTACATTTCCAAGAATGTCATTGTGAAGTTGCATATGCCTCATATCCTCTCTTGATTTCTAATTACCCCTGTGTGCAGTGAATTATAATGCGTTCCTCTGAGATGACTGTTGAAACAAAGCAACCATTACATGGTGTTGCAAACCAAAGCTGAGTGTTGCTACACAGGCTAGTATTAATCACATGAATGCTCTGTCAATAACAACCACAATCCCTGCATTAAGTGACCTACGTTCTGTGTCTGAATCTATGACAAAGCATACAATTAAAAACAGAACTTGTATAAGCTCTATGATATTGATAAAACATAGTATTTCTTGCCTTTAAATGGTAGTTTGCTGTCAGGCCTGCTGCCGCCCTGGTTGTCCTCTGCGTGATCTTTTGGATGGCTATCCAGTGGCCTTCCATTTGGACTCAGGCTGTTATTGAAGAAGGCAGCCACCTGTTTGATCTTCACACGCAGCTCCCTTGCACTGGGAGTGGAAAACTCAGCCGCTAGGGGCTTGGGGCTAGAGGTGGTTGACCTGAGGTTAGGGTTGATTGTGGAGGTAGTTTGAGTACTGGGAGATGGGACTGGAATCATAATAGTGTCTGGAACTGGAGTTTGTTTGGCTGCTTTTTCCTCCATATTGGGAATTATCTCAGCTTGCAAGTCAGTATTGGAAGCTTGATTTGGGTTTGTGGATCCTGGAATTGTGCTAGGGATAACACTCGGCAGGATCCTACGGGAGATTTTATTTGCTCTTGTTGTCGTTGGGATCAATGGTGGTCGACTGGCTGTTAGTGGCGTCGGATCAGACGTTATCCTGCTGTTTGGGCTCATTGTGAAGCCTTCAGAGAGAGTGTCACGGCGTGGGATGGGTCCAGTCTCCAGGCTGTTGGAAGTCTTTGGACCCAGAGTCATGGTTTTCGTTGTGCTGGGACTGAAGTCTGTGCCCCTTTGAGAATGACTCGCCTCAGAAGTCTGTGTTACAGGGGCAGGTGAAGGTGACATGTCGGTTTCAGAGTTTTTGATGTTGCCTAAACTAGTCTCACTGATTTGTAGAGGATCTAAATCTGTTTTTATATTCAGACTTGGTTTTTGGGGCACTGCTGGTTCTGGTCGTTTAACATGTGTTGCTCCTGGCCTGATTGTAGGTCTGATTGGTTGCCTGCCTTTGGGTGTAGGCCTCAATTTAGATGTTTTGTTGGATTCTGCTTTAGGCAAAGATTTGGGGTTAAGTTCAGGCATTTGGTCGGGTCGAAGGGTTCTAAGCCCTTGATTGGTTTGTGGGCGTTGTTCTGGTTTAGGCTTCCCCTTTTGTTTAGTCTTTTGTCCTGTCACAAGATCTGTATGTTTTTCATTGGGTTTAGGATTTTGGTTTATTTTAGGGATTTTCTCACTGGATTTCTTTTCTTGATCAGGGGGTTTGATCAGGGCCCGATCAGGAGTAAGCTTTTGTCCGGGTGTTGAGTCTTTTTCAGATAAAGGCTCAGTCAAAGGATTTTCATCGGAATTTTCTGTTAATACTGCTATAGGCTTTTGGATAGGTCTTGTTGTTATTCTAGTTGTTTCACTTCCTCCAGTGTCATGAACAGGTGAAATATATTTGTTTGTGGTAGAACTTTGATCAGGTTTACTTTTTTCTTCTTCACTTTTTGGCTTTGCGTGTGGTTTTTGTATTTGGTCAGGCTTTTCTATTTTGAGAGGATGAAGCATTTTTTTCTCAGGTTTTACATTTTGAGTAATAACTGGGATTTCTACAGATTCTGGCTGTTGGTCAGTTTGAGTGTCTTTATCCGAACCAGTTGCATTTACTGTTTGAGGTGTGTGATGAGTTGTAGGCCTCTGAACTGGAAGCTTTTGAGTAGATTTTGGCTTTTGAATAATGAACTTGGTTTGATCAGTTGTATGTTCTTGGTCATGTTTAGGTATTTTGTTGTTTTTCTGATTTTGATCAATTGGTAAAAGGTCAGGTGGAGGTTTTTTTTTCGGTTTTGGGATCTGGACTTGTTTAGGGTCTTTGCCAGGTTTCAATCTTTGGTCGGTTATTGGTTTTTGGTAAAAAGGCTTCTGCTTTTGGCCATTGTTTGTTTTTTTGTCTGGCAAAGGAGCTCGGTCTTGTTTACGGCCATTTGTAGGAATTGTAAGCTTTTTTTCTCCTTCAGACCTGACTGCAGGTTTACGCTTTTCACCAGGCTTTGGTCCTCGGCCTGGTAGAGGTTTTACACCAGTCTTAGTGTTTGAGCTGATGTTCTTTTAGCTTTCCAACGGCTGTGGTCTGCAACTCCTGTGAAAGTAGTTGTGTATACATTCTGAGTTGTAGTGGGTAAAGTTGTTGTAGTTGAGCTATCTGGGCCCTTGAAACCTGCCCGGGGTCTTGCACTGGTTGCAGAGGTGAACATTAAAGTTTCACTGGCGATTTGTTGTCCAGGACCACCAATGAGTTTATTGTGGCCACTGTTTTTGGCCTTGTTGTGGTCCTAAAGCCATCCTCTACATCAGGGCTGTTCTCCGTAATGCCAGATGCTACAATGCCTGGGTTTTGAGTTGGTCGTCTGACAGCAACAATAGTAATCCCTTGATTGACATCGGTGATCAAGTGTGAAGTTGAGCGAGACGAAGGAGGAGATGAAGGAGATGACGTAAAGGTTATCGCTTCGTTTGATTCCACATAGTCATGCCTGGACGTAAAACTAATGATAGACAGAGGAGTTGAAACAAAGTCTGCCCTCTCAGTTTCCTTGCTGGATGCTAATTCTCCATAACTGTCTCTCTGCACACTCTGAACCGTTATTTCTCCTTCTATTTTGATCTCCGTCCCCCTCTCCCCATCCTCCCCCTCTTTTATAGTCTTCTCTTGTTCTGCGTGCCCGATGCTTGCAGACTGTTTTGGTGTCTCATTATTTCGCTCAACTTTGGTTCCCTTTTCCATATCCTTTTTCCTCTCCTCCCTGTGCTGTTCTCGTTCCCTATTTGTATGCCCAGCATGGTCCTCAGACATCTTTATTCCATCATTTCCCCTGTCTACTTCAGTTTGGCTCTTTTTCTCTGCTTCCTTCATTTCCTTTGCCCACTCGTGATGGTCACTTTCTTCTGCTTTCTCTATATTTTTTACATCACTTGTTACCTTCCTGTCTTTTCCATTCTCCAACATATCCTCTCGATTTCTCTTTGAATTCCCTTTTGCACCGTCTTTATTTCTGTCTCTGTCTGTCTCCCTGTTATTTTTTGCAACCATTTTTTTTTTTACCGTATCCACTATTCTCTCCTCTCCGGCAGCAGTTGTCAACTTTGTCTGGTCCATTTTTTCCTTTTCTTTTGCCCCCTCTTTCTTAGTTTTTCCATTGCTTTCTGCCTCTTCTTTGAGGGGTTCTTCTTTCTTATTTTCTTTTAAGAACCGTTTATTGCTCTCTCTTTCTGCTTCCCATTTATTTCTCCTTTTCTCTTCTAAACTCGTTATTTTATCAAAATCAGTGTCACCATATCCTAATTCTCCTTCCACAGTCTTTTCCACTTTTTGCGTCTCAAGATTTTTCTCATACAGCCGGTTCTTCTCATCAATATGTCTATTTATACCCTCATTTAGCTTCTCCTGCTCACTTTCTCTACGGCTTCCACACTCTCTCTCAGTTTGGCTTACTGTACAATCAGCACACATCTTCCTCAGTTCGTCCACATTGTCCTTCAGATTCTGTAAATCCTTTACAATCTTCTCCAGCTCTCTGAGCTCCTTTGGCAAATGGAGTGTCAGCGGAGGCAGACTTAATCTGTATGGACACATGCTCTCATCCTGCCCCTGCCTGCACGGCTCCTCAGGTCTCAGAGTTGCAGAGCAGGGTCCAAATTCCTGATCCCAGAAGAGGTCCCCTTCATCAGCTGTGGTCCAAGAGAGGCTCAAGAAGGCCAGCAGGGTCCCACACATGCAGAGTGATGTTAACCTCATGGCGTCCTGAGAGCAAAGACTAAAAGGATAAGAGGGAGAGAGTGTAAAAAAGACCCACCTCAGTTTGAGACAGTGACAGTGAGAGGAGGAGGTAAGGCGGGAGGAAGAAGAGGAGGGAGGGGGAACTGATAGAGCTGTTCAGTGGAAAGCGAGTAAAGGGGAGAAATGAGGAGCGAGAAGCTCTGAGAATAAAACAGGTTACCAAAAAAAGCAAGAGAGGATTGTGTGGGTGTACTTGCCAGTAGATGGACTAGATGGTGAGATAGTGAATGATAAGCATGAAGCTTAAGCAGATGCTAAAACTACTACTTTCTTCTTTATAAAATAAGCATAATCAGCCATAGTAATTATATTTCAGTCAGGAAAAATATCAAACTGTGAAAGCTATAAAAAGCCTATGCCTTATTGCATTCCTATTATTACATTCCAAAGTATCATGAATTTAATCACACCATTTAATGAAGACCATTTGTAACGCATTCTCACTCCATGATGTGCATCATGGCCCTTAATGTGCATGTGTATCTCTGTTGCTTTGGCAGGCGCTTCTCCAGCTTCCTGTTGTGTGCACAAACATATCAGTGACATATGTGACAGGTCAGAATATGCATCTTAAGCTAAATAATAGATTTACAAAGACATGTTTTATTTTTACTGTACGCCGCATGGTTTAGTTAATGTTCAAAAGGAATGAAAGTCAGGAATGTCAGATTTATCCAAGAAGGCTGCTTGATTCAAATGCAATGCCAGGAAAGAGAAATATATCATGTTCTATTGACTTTATCCGGACAGTACTAAGTGTTGAGAATGGTGAGACAATCTCTGGGTGGAGAGGCTAAGCTCGCTGCATTCAGACTGCCGTTCGTCCAAGATTTAGTTTCTTTGCTAATTCATTGTGTCTACATATATTTAGAACAAAGAAAGAGAGAAAACACAGTCACATGAACTAAATCAGGCATCTGCTTGGCAGGGAGTTTAGATAATGAGGCTTTAGTTTCTCAGACCCGGGGTGTAAATGTCAGTCCAACCACAGGATATGAGATATGATTGATGGCATGCAATGCGAGTGTTTGATGTTTTAGAAATGTGTCCATTTGTAATGCTTGATAAGATTAGTTAGATAGTCTAATCTTGAGGCTGTGAGGAAACGTGATCTTTGTGCACTTATGTTCTCTGTCTCTTTCATTGGCCTGTTGAACTGAGACCGCACCATCTGGAGAGATTTTTCAACTGTCCTAAGATAATGAGAAAGGAAACCATTTGTTCAGGGAGAGAACTGTGGGATGCGTCAGGTTAGAGATGAGAAAACGAGTTGGAAGAAAACTCCAAATACTGTTAGTTACTTCTAGAGAACAACAACTTCTATCCTTTGATAAATTAAAGAAGATTATTGCATTGATTCAGATTTTAGTTTGGAAAGGAAGCTGTTATATGTTTCAACCACACACTATGAAGACATTGTAAAATTAGAGATAAAGACTAACTAACTAACTATCTATCCAAAAATACTATATGGCTTTACATCGCAAGTCCTTCTACGCAAATGCAGCTATGAGCTCATTTGACATTGGACAACTGTTGGCAGGATTACATCCATGAATAAGTGTCCTTTCACCTTTCACAGTCACTTTGTTACTTCAACACTTAGACTGGGAAATAGTGAGAGAGAAATGTTTACACTCTCGGAAGACTTCTGTCTGAACACTAGGCTGTATTGATTTATAATCATAGAGCCACAACTTTTACAACAAAGCATAAATCTCAGACAGCCACAACGAACCTGAAGAACGGGGTGCATGAAGACCAGTAATGATTAATGCAGTTGATTGAGACTAAAAGGGTCCATTTTATTTGATAGAAGCCAAAGTACACAAATCTATTTTTGTTATACAGCGGGCTCACAGGAACTCAAGTTTCCCCAATAATACCCTCACTCCTGGCTTTACCCATTTATGGACAGCAGGTTTTTTTCTCCTCAGGGTGCCCTCTTGGGATAAAGTGTTTTGAATTCGCCCAGAGAGCTGGCTTGGTCCACTCTCCGTCCTGGATCATGTAAACACTGAGGTTTTTTCCATGCAGACTAGAACAAACATCTGATCATCAGTCCAGCTTTACTGCCTGGCTTGCTGGCAGACCACTCCATCTCCCGCCACTTTGGGCAGAGGAGCCAGTGTCGTCGGTCATGTCTGTTATGTGCATAAGTTTCCCATTTCCAAATGAACGGGAGTGAACCCAATGACTGTCGTAGTGCAGCGCCAGTCACTTCTTATACCAAACTCAGTCCTCCTGTCTGAAGGTATAAACCTGCTGCTCAATATTATTGTACTGAATCCGTTTTTGCATGCCCATAACAAATACACATATATTCTCAACAAAACAGGTATAATATTATAGCCCATCTACTTAAATTAAGGTATCTCTCCTTGTCTCTTTCTTACTCTTCCTCACACACACACCACACAGACATATTCACATGCATTGTTCATAGCTAACATCTTAATTCTTGAATAACTGATACATTATTTTGCCATGTGTGAAAATATTTTTCATCTGTCCATTGACTGATAAGAGATTTTTAAATATGAACAGTGCCTCACATCTGTGCTGGATTTCCTACAGCTATCCAACACCAGATAACGTCAGGTCAATTTGTTTCTAATCCAGAAGCCTGGACTTCATTAAGTCCCTGTTTGAAATAAATGTGTCCTTTATGAAGGATAGTGAAGCAGGCGTAATGTGGGAACGGGTTATCTACTGCTGTCACCAGATGCACTGGACTTCAAGGTGTAAGTGGAATCATTTAAGACCCTGCATTCACCAGAAATAAATTAGTGTCAAGGCTGAAGTGAAGTGAAGGCTCAATCTCAGATTTGTATTTAAGTCAATGTAATTTTCATTACTGCTAACGGTGCTCTGAAAGATTATTCTGTTTGCACTGCCTTGTGTTATTGGTCCAAAAATAACCTTGGACTTTATTATTCCGCAATAACTGTGTTGTCTTCTCTATGGCGACTGTTTAAGTGTTGGGTCAGAGAAATAAACAAATCTCATTTTAGAGTAAGCCAATGTCAGCGCTGATGAAAACTGTGTACACTACCGTTCCAATCGCTCTGACAGAATAATATTTCTACTTTAGTGTCTGCAGATACGGACACCAGCAACATATAAATTGATGTTAACTGAGACAGGACCTCTTCACTGAATGGTTGGTAGGAACTTTTCTTCCTTGCTTTGCAGAATTTGTTTTGTTTTCTGTCATAAAAGAAAGGTTCATTTAATTCACTATAAGTATGTTATATAAGACAGCATTTTTGGCATGGTATTGATTTTTAATCACATAATGTAGTCATTAAATGAACAATAGTACAAAGATCTTGGAATTAGTTCAACTATTGACTACATATTATTGCGCAATATAAATGAGTATGTTTTCCCACTGTTGTGACTGTTTTTGAAGGAGCCCTAAAAACACAGCTGCGAGGTTCAATAGGTGTGATGATTTTCACACAAAATTCCCCTCAATATATTTACGGCAATATACTGCCATCTAATGGAAACTTTAAGAAATATCTCATAATTGAATCTACTATGCTTTGTTGTATCATATATAACATATTATTGCTCAAACATGGCATGACAAAGCATATGATATATATTTGTTTGTTTTCTAGACATTTTGAGAAGGCCTATCAGAAAAGGATGAATAATTATTACATAAATATATATATATTCCACCTATCTGTAGTAAGAAAATAATAATGTTTCCATTTCCATCATAAAAACAAAACCCATTTGATGGGTGCAACAGTATAACCATAATCAGATAGTTTCCTTTTAACTTCTGTCAATATATGTGTTGTTGTTGTTGTTGTTTTGCAGTACATCTTAGAGATGTTAGCCCTCTGTAAAATGTGATATTTCAACCATTATTAAAAAAACAAAGGTTAATTATGAATAGTTATTCATATATTGATCATAGATCTGTCAGACTTTTTGCTCCAGCATAATAAGAGTGCAATAATGGAGCTCATGAATGCCCCCTGTGTCGGTGGTGTTGCAGTGAACCTGCACAGTGAGCACAGTGAGCGGTACAGTACTGTCTCTTGTCCTGCAGGCTGTAAACCAGGGGTTGGGAACCTTCGGCCTCCGGGCCGTATACGGACCGCGAGACCATTTGATACGGACCGCGAGACCATTTGATACGGCCCTCGAGGTAATTTATAAACATACGCAAAAAATTAAAGAAATCTAGACCGCAAAATAATTTAACAAGCGAGTGCCTGTTTTTCCCGGCCAAGGTCTGGTTACTTGAACACAACACGAGCCTAAGGTGTCATCACGTGGTATATGTCTCGTCTGACAGGGGTGTAGTAGAGCACCAGAACGCGGCTCCGCCACTGAGCCGTACACATGCTGCAGTTTTTGCTGGCTGTGTCTTTAGTTGTAAGCCCAGTGGCGATCTGTTCATCTGTCATACAGTAAATAACTTTGTTGTTATTAGCATCTGGTTAACTAGCTATGCTAAGTTACGAATATAAGAAGCTTTTTCTACAACCAGTGAGGAAAGGCACATCTTTATATGATCATTATAGTTATAAATACGATTAATAAAGTAAACAGGTATAAAATACTATATGACAGTAAAAAAAGTTGTTATTAATAAACAAGAATACAGTTTAAAAGGGGAGTGATTTGTAAAAAAGAAAAAGAAAATCTGCTTACAGTTCTGTTTCATGGATGTTGAGAGATGTATCCATAGATCTCCTAATGTTGCTCTCAAAGTGCACCAGATTGATGCTTTCAACTTCAACATTTTTTTTAGGAGGTTAGGTCCCCCCCACTTAAATCAGGAAACTAAATACATGTGCACACGCCTTGTATCCATATCTTTCTGTTGTGATGGTCATGCCACAACAGTGCACGACACGTGCATGCATACGCAAGTCATGGTAAAATATCTGGATTAAGAGGTTGCTTTTTCTTTGC